TCACCCTACAGGTCCCTCCTCCATTTCTTAGGCTAATTGAAGGCAACATGGTTTTAATGAGTAGTTGTCAAGAAGAACTTGAGCCTGAAACAGAGACAAGAGCAGCATGCAGAGCATTTGAGTGCCATGACTCCAACACAGTTCTGTCATTAAAGACACACTAAGAAGAGAACAGCAGCATGAAATGGTCCTGAGGTGCTGCTGCACTCCTACACCTTCCAGCTAGAGATGGAGACAAGCAGCTTGCATGGTTCTTGTTTCCAAGGGGGCTGAGCTGATGAGCAGAGGAACCTCTCCTTCCCTCAGGGAATGCCAGCTGCTTTCCCCATGAAACATGCCACATCCTGAGCCAGCAGGATGCAGTGCTGCAGATGTGGCCCCTGTGGAATGCGCACCAAGGCAGCCACATCCCTCACCCGCTGCATCAGCACAACGTGCTGCTCCCCTGAGATGCTGAGCCTGGAACTCTGCACCCAGACCCAAGCAGAGAGCACCCTGGGGTGGAACACACTGCACTCTGCAAACCCCATCTGCATCCCTGCATGCTCCTGACACCCCAAACCCTGCTCAGCCCAGCTGCTGCCCGTGCCTTGCCTCAACCCAGCAGAGGAAAAGCGGCTTCTGTCCTAAAACACAAGGGATTTCTGCCTTGCACAGCTTTAGCTGAGAAACCCCAAGAAGGCACATTTTCCCCAAGGTGTGGGGGAGCACTGCAAAGAGCTGCAAGCCCTCACAAAGGCTAACAAAAGGCAACAGAGCAGTGTGTCCTGCCAATCCAGATAGGAAGGATACTAAGGCCACCGGCACCGCATGGCAGCCTGCCACGAGGAATAACTCTTCAAAAATAGAAGCATGCTAATCTCAGGAACCTGCTGGTATTGTCAATGACATTAATGAAGTGTTTCGAAAATCAGAACAAACGCCTTGGCTTTTTGGGGCTGTTGCTGCCCCTTGTAATTTTCCACACCAGCAGAGGAGGGGTTTGGGGGCAGCCACTGCTCTTGTGCCGCTCTGCTCCCCTGGAGCAGCTCCTCTGGAGCAGAGCCTGGGGTGGGCTCTGATGGGCTCCCAGCGAGTTTGGAGCCTGCACAGGGGAGCCTGGCCAGCCCTCGGGGAAGAGGCTCCCCCGAAGCAATTTCCTCTGTGAAGCAAACCCAACCAAGCATACCCAATGGAAACAGTGCCCAGGGGAGGTGGAAGCTCACTGTCTCCTCTTCCCTTGTTTTCAATCCTTGTCTAAAGCTCCCTCTGGGTTCTTTCTCACTCTCTCCAGCTCCTGCCTCCTCCTCCTCCTCTCCTCTACCTGCAGTTTATTTCCTGAGATGTTACAGTTTACAATGGTAAGTGGAGGCACTTGAGGACCTCTTCAAATGATGGGGAACTGCACTGAATGCTGCCCTGCCTCCTGAGAGCCTCCCCCTCTCCTTTCCTCCCCTGCTTCCCATCTTCTCCCCAAGCAGACCCCAAGAGATCACTGTGGCTGGCATTCCCTGCCTTGCTCCATGCACCTGGCTGCCTCTCCAGGCACACTGCTCCTCTGGCCAGGTGCTTCCAGGGCTACTGCAGGGAGGGACTTCTCCAAGGCTGCTTTTCTTGCTCCTTGGCACCCAGGACAGCTCCCTCCAACAAGTGGTGGGGAAAAGAGGGCAGATGCAGCTTCACTTCTTTTCCCCACCATTGTCCCAACGAAGTCATCAGGACATGTAGAAATGGGAGAAGCCAAAGGCAGAGCACAGCTCCATCCACCACAGCCAGGGCTCACAGGACAGTGAATTTGTCCCTGGCAGAAGGGCTTTGAATTTCTGGGTAGTATGTGTTGAGCACTGGGCTCAGGCTGGCAGACAGAGAACAACCTGCTGGCCTCTTGCCTTTCTGATGTCTCTGAATCACAGCCTGTAAACACACACAAGAGTCAATCCTAACACTGCTTCCCAGGCTTTCCAGATGAGGAATAAGCAAGAGGTACTTTGTGAAGGAGAGAAGAGCAGAAGCCAGGGTGTTAAGTCCTCCACAGCTCACCAGGGTGCTCTAGAGCCCCTTGGAGCACTGGCTGCTCCAGCACAGGGCAGGTCCTGCCCTCTTTCAGGTAGTCCCCAGGACACTGCATGCTCAGCACATCTCACACCAACTGAAGGGGCACAGCCAAGTGTCTGTCCATCTCCTTCCCCAGCTACTCTTTCTTGCCAGCTTTCTCCCCACTTCCCTCCTTCTGCAGCAAGCAGCAATGCCTCATTTTCACTGCCAACCATGACACCCACTCTTCTTGCGAGCTCAAATCTAGGACAAGGCAGCACAACCTAAACTCTGCTTTGAATCTCACCTGACTTGTGTTTTTGCCTGGCAGACGCAACAGAAAAGCCACTCAGACACCTAGTTTAACCTCACAGGCCTAATAGGGTTCTCATAGGTTCTCAACCTAAAGCCAAAAGCAGTTATGATGGGACCTGCTCAAAGCCAAAGGCTTAACTTCGGACTTGAATTACATTGCTTCATCAGCACAAAACACAGCGGGTTACACCCAGTAGAGTTCAGCTCCCCATTACTCATTCGTGTGATAGGAGGAAACCAGACCACTCTGTTATCCTTCCACCAGTTTTTGCCCAAAGTTCTGACAGTTCTGCTCAGGATGGAGTGCTCAGGCTCCATCAGCTCCAGCAAATGAGCACTGCCCACTTGGCCACCCTGCAGGGTAGGGGAGAGGAGCAAAGAGTGGGAAAAGCACTTATAAGTCTTCAGATAGAAGAAGCCTTGAAGAAGCTTTGCAGTAAGGGTTTAATGGCACTGACCAAGGATACCAGAACGATTTCTGAGATGGGGAATCTTTTAGCTCTGACAAGCACTTATCAAGGAGGCATCTGAGCTCTGGCAGAAGCAGCAGAGCAGTGGAAATCTGGCTGGCATATTTGCTGTAGCACTGCCTACAAGCCAGAGGACAAAACACTCTTAACAAGGGAGTGTTACCTTCACTTGCCAAGAAACTGAGGCAAGGAACAGCTTTGGGTTGCCTCCTGCCAGGCAGAGGCAGTGCTAGATGAATAGTTAGGTTTATTTAAAACATCATCAGCTCCTGTGCCATGTGCTGTGTTCCTGGACAATGTGTTTTATAAAAGGCACATCTGGGGACAGAGGCAGCTCTTCTGTGAAGAAAGCATTCCCACTGTGAATTCACACTGCCTCTGCTGAATTACATCACATCTCTGTTAAGTAACTGGTTCCCTTAAAATACTGAATGAAGCTTTTGCAATGTCTGGTTACCAAAAAGTGGGTAGAAAATCACCGATAGAGATCAAAAAGGCTTGTGCTCCTAATTCAGCTGGGTGCCACCACTGTGCCTCTCACAAAAATAATATGTTGTGCTATGGCATGTCAGTTCTCAGAACATTTCTTGCTGCTGCTCCTCCTAGTTGCTGCTGGTCCAAATGACACCACCCATGGCTCCCAGGCTGGCAGGACCAATCAACTGCTCCATTCTCTAACCAAAAATGAATCAGTGCCAGAGGACAAACTAAGACATTGTGTAGACCAAAGGAGACAAAGGAAGAAATATGAATGTTTTGTGAAAAGGTAATTTAGATAGGTGAGAAACTGTGTGGTTGCAAAGCTCTTTGTATTTAACTGGGGTCGGCCCTCTCTGGCTGCCACTCTGGCTTGAGAAAAGCACACAGAGGAGATAAACAAGAGGAGCTGAGAGTTTTACAAGAAGTTAATGTGAAACCAACTGAAAAAAAGCTCCTTGCCACAGATGGACTTACACTTGCCTCCCTTGCAGCACTGAGCACAGCTCTGACATGGTACATGAAGCCTATTCCACAGGGCACAGCGGTGCATGGATACAGAGACAGCCAATTTCCACCTCCCCCCCACCACTCCACAACAAAGTCGAGGCAACGTGGAGTCACCTCAGCCCATCCTGTGTTCCTAAATATGCAATGCATAAAATCAACAGCTTATTGACTGGCTGGCAGAGTCTCTCCCACAACCTGAGCAAAGAGCCAGTATCCACGTGGGATAAGTCAGACAGGAATTACTCCTGCACGAATGTAGCTCCCCACTGCACCACCTGTTAAGAGCAGAAGGATGACAGAAGCAGGGCTGCATCACGGCCACACTTTTACAGAGACCTGGACTTTTCAATTTGATTTTTCTGCAGCAGGACAATTAGCAACAGACTTTTCACACTACGAGCACTCCCTTACAAAATATTTATTGAGCACAAAAATTCAGAAATGGACAACAGACAAAAGCTTCATGAAAATGCATAAGCCATTAGGTGCCATTAAGTCATTAAGTGCAGCAGCATTTGATTCTGCCACATACTGAAAATAACTTTTGTCAGGTACAGTTTCCATTTAGCCTCCTCTGGCAGGACAGCTGGCCTTCTGCAGCTGAGGTGGGGTCACCAAGATGTTTGTGAAGCCAGAACACTGTCCCCTCTCACCACCTCCACGGGCTGAGCTTGAACTCCTCTGGCCAAGGAATGGCCACGCACCCTTTGGACTTGTTTGAAGCATCCGATATCCAGGAGCATCTGCAAGTCCAGTAACAACTCCTCAGAGATTTGGATCTTGGTGTCACCTCCCAGTCACTCCCACAGAAGAGGAAGTGCTCAGTACCATCAGGATCTGGCTCCTCCACTTCGGTACTCTGCAAGGTCCACCTTCTACAGAGGCTTAAAAGCACCCATAAGATGTCTCATACCTGTTCCCAAAGGACAACAATCCTGATGACTGCAGGAACCAAGTCCTATGGAGATAACCATCTGTTTTCTGTCTCCAATCCAATGGGATTTCAGATGATCCCGGTTTAAGGGCATCCACCACTGTGCTGTCAGCAAGTTCCACATCCAGTCACTTCCAATGGCAAGGATGACACTTACCAGGATCATTAGTAATCAGAAGGATTTCTCATGGGAAAACAGATAGCTCAGAGTTTTTTGATAATGGGGGAGAATTTCCATTTAAGTTGCTGCTTTTGATCTGGGCCAGACTTGACTCTTTGTTGCCTTCTGCTGCCTCCTCTAAAACACCCATCACAGAGAAACATCCATCACAAAAGCCACTGGCATCAAACAGGAACATTCTCTACCCTGTACACCACCAAGGTCACAAGAGTCAAAGAGGGAGAGGGAGGACAAGGCAGCACACGAGACCTGTGCTGCCACTTGTTATGTGGGTTTGAGGAGGTATTTTTCTCCAGGGCACTGTGTACAGAAGTCAGCAAAGAAAAACATTCCTGCCTCACTGTTCCACCACAGCGTGTAAGAAATGAAAAATAATTAATGCTGCTTGCACTGCGTTTTTTCCACATCACTGGGGCTCTCCAAAGAACAGGGAACCTGGAAACAGCTGTTCATAAAACCACCAAGCTGTTTCCAGGAGGTTGGGAGGGGAAAGGCAAGACAAGATACACAAATTACACTTTTTTCCAGATCTGGTATTGTAAACATCAATTTGGAAGAATAATAAATATTAATTAGCCTTTTAGAAAATCCTCTCATAGCCTTTCAGCCACCCAGCAAGCACTTTATCTGCAAATCCTCAGGAGTGCAATGAGTAAGCTGTAAAGATATTCAGTGATGTGATGTGATCCATTTTTTATGCCCTTGCCCTCTGCCTTTAAAATTTACACTAGTCCAATCCAAAGATGTTACAGAGAACTCCCATTAACGGGCAGGGGGATTGATTCCCTTTTCTGTGACAGACAGGCTGCAAATCTCCCCGTGTCCCCCCACCACAGCTCCGTGTCCTTCAGGCTTTTAACCATCCACTTCCGTGAACTTTCTTTTCCCGTAGTTCTGGACCAGACTGGAAGCTGTGATTTGAGAAGCCTGCCCCTTTTCCCAGCACTGGAAATCATTCAGCCCTTTCTGGCCAACCTGGAACAAAGCTCGTTCCAGCTCATCCAGCCGGGCCACCAGCGCCGACGTGTCCTCGTTGTAGGCGTTCTGAGAGGAGTCCATGATGCGGCGGAAACGGTTGATGAACGTCTGAAGGTGACAAAACACAGTTAACACAGAGGCTCCCTCAGCTCAAACGCTGCAGCTCTCACGACTGAAAAGCCAAAGGTTTAGGCTCCAGTTTGCAAGCAGCAAAGGGTCTGCACCCAGCGCTTATGAACCTCGGACACGAAGACAAACCCGCGTCGTGCCTGAGCTGGGAGAGCAGGTGCCTGATGCACAGGAAGCAAACATGGAATCAGATTTTGGCTGCTTCCTTAATGACAGGCCCGAGGAGACCACAGGGCACAACAACATACTTACAGCCCACTCCATCTCACTTCACAAGCAGTCGTTGCTTCAGAGCGGGTGGAATGAACCTCACCCCACAGCAGCTGCTGCAGGAATGTACAGGCTGCAGATTGTGAACAACTTGGCAGTTAAGCCAAACCACTACTGAAAAGTGTGGGGTTTTTTTCAATATGATAGAAAAATTATTCTAAAAAACTGTTAGAAAGTCAAAAAAAGCCCTGATCTGCGATTTGTAAATATCATCTTCTGAAGCTAAGCAACAAGACACGTTTATGGATTTTTGCTTCCCTATTTTTTCTTTGGGGAGTCAAAAAAGAAAGGGTCAAAACTCTTTGAAAACTGTGCTTTGTTATTTCAGAAGCTGATTTTAGAATAATCAGAACTAATAGGAGAAAGATAAATTAATAACTCTCACTTTGACTGTGTCACCTAACAGTTATACTTTGCATTTATTGTTCCTGATTATTTCAAAGAGGGGTTCTTTTTGTATTTTGTTCATTTTTCAAGTCAGCACAACTCCCCTCCTGTTTGCTTTTAACAAAGCAAAAACCTCGTGTGCTTTGATTTTTCTGTCAATAAGTAATGAGTTCTCCTGTGTTGTTTTTTTTTCCCTAAGATGTCCATTAGCAGAAGGAGAAAAGACAAGGAAAGGCGTGGTCACCTCCTCAATGCACAAAGCACATTTTCAGTGGACAACTCTTAGAAAACAGCAGCATTTTAAAGCCCCTCTGCATCAGTCTTAATGTAAAGCACAGAGAAGGAAAAAAAAAAAAAAGCATCAGCAATCATCCCAGCCCACTTAGAGACCTGGCTGAAGAGATCTCAGAGCTGTTAGTGGTTATGGTTAAAAGCTCAAGGAGCACTGAAGTCCGGAAACTGCTGAAGACAATATCTATCTTTCAAAAGAGAAAAGGGGGAGATGGAAAAGGAGGAAGGAAGAGCCAGGGAATTATAAATCCATCAGTATCAATTGCTGGAAACATAATGGAACAAGCAGACTATACATAAACTCCTGCAAGAGAATAAAAGGGTAGCAGCCAATGTGGACCTGCCAAGAACAAACTCCGAGGGACCAGCCTCGTTTCCTGCTGTGGAAGGATGCCAGGCTTGAACAGGGAGGAAAACAGTGGAGGGGGCATCTGTCATGGAGCATTCTTGGAAGATTTAGCCAGGCCACCCCATAGATGGTTGGGAAAGACAACCATCACCCATAGCTCCTGTCAGGAGGGAAGAACACACTGAGTGGAGTTCCACAGGGGTCTGTCCGGAACCAAGAACTGTTTGAGTTGTTAATTAATGAGCTTACTAAAGGAATAAGAAGTTGTGCTTATTAAATCAGGAAAACACGGCCCACAGACAGATATCAAATGAACTGGGACTGCTGCAGGAAGGAAGAGAATATTCTGTCCTCAGCATTTACTTTGTACAAGACAAACAGAGTGAAGGAGCTTTGGTTTAAACATCAGAGCAAACCTTCTATGATTAGGGTGAAGAAGCACTGAAACAGATTGCCCAGAGCAGTGTGAGGTCTCATTGTTACAGAGCTTTAAAAACAGGGTAGAAAAACTGAAACAACAGTTGAGTGAATTCATTCTGCCTTGCAGCACAGGCACAATTAAATGACCTTACATCTCCTCTAGTCCTGTTTTACAAGAGTTTTTGAAACACCATATTGACACTGTGGAAACTCGAGGCTAAGGTTACACTCCTGGATGCACACTTGAAGCTTCCAGCAGTAGTCAAGAGGGTCATCCTACAGCTTGATCTAGAAATTCATAATCAGCCCAGAAGTCATTTGGTTAAAACCAGGACATTTTTTTCTGAAGGCAGCTGTGCAGCTGGGAAAAACAGGAAGACAGAAGAATGCAAAACCGAGTTTCGAGCCTTAGTTCAGATACTTGCCTGCAGGATACTCTGAGCTATCTCAGGATTCTCCGGATTGTCAAAATTCAGCAGCTGTGAGCCAAATCCATAGTAGTAGGGCCCCATTTTATGCAGATCAACCACATTGGCATCAGCACTGAACACTGTCCTCCAGGCTTCCTTGTAGATATTCGGCAGTTCCACAGAAATGATTCTCCTTTTGCTGTCGTGGAGCCCTTTAGCAAGCCACAGTGGGATTTCCAGCTTCGATCCCTGGAGGAACGAGAGAAACCAAAAGTTGTCCTTCCCACGAGAACACACATTAAGCAGCCGCAAAGACAGAAAATAAAACTTCATTAACGAAGATCCAGCCTTACAGAAACACAGTTTTCTTTTCAGAACAGTCCGCTGCATAAAGAGACACACTTTAGGGGCGTTATTACTGCAAGACTCGGAAAGTGGGGTTTTCATTGATGCTCTGCAGCCTAATAAATTGTCAGATAAATAAACACCAGAAGGAAAAAAAAAAAAAACACGGAAAAAAAATCCACACAGAAACCCAAAAGTGCATATGATAAAAGTAAAGATAACTTTTAAATAAAGTAGCGGGAAGCATCAATTTCATTGCAGCGACCGCGGAACCTGCGGGCGGACGGGGCTGGGGGGGCGGGACACGAGGTGGGGGCGAGGCGACGGCCCCGGGGCAGTCCCGTATCCCCCCGGGGGTGGCTCTTGTCCCCGTCCCCGTCCCCCCGTTACCTCCGGGACGGACTCGGCGCCGCCGGCCCCCTGTCCCAGCGCCAGGGCCAGGCGCGGCAGAGCGCTCTCGGCGCGCCCCGGCAGCTTCTCCTGCGACATCAGGATGTCGTCCAGCGACAGGAAGTTCTCCTCCATCCCGAGCCCGGGGCCCACCGGGAAATACGCCTCGGACATGGCCCGGACCGGGATCGGCACCGGGACCCGCCGGGTCGGGGCTCCCGCGCAGCCCGCCCGGCCCCGCCCACCGCCCGCACTGCGCCTGCGCGGGACGGGCGAGGGGAGAAACCCGGCCTGGAACCTGCCGGGATCGGGAATGGGGGGAGGAAGCAGGACGGGATCGCGGCTGGAATCTCTGATGGAGGAAACCCGGACTGGATCTGGGCTGGTATCGGGAATGGGGAAAAACCAGGACTGGATCGGGGATGGAATCTCTGATGGGGAAAAGCCAGACAGGATCGGGGCTGAGATCCATAGTGGGGGGAAACCCAGACTGGATTGGAGCTAGAATCATGAATGGGAGGAATCCCGGACTGTATCAGGGCTGGAATCATGAATGGGGGGAAACCTGGACTGGATCAGGGCTGGAATCATGAATGGGGGGAAAACCTGGACTGGATCAGGGCTGGAATCATGAATGGGGGGAAACCCGGCCTGGATTGGGGCTGAAATCTCTGATGGGGAAAACCCAGGAGAGATCGGGGCTGAGATCCAGAATGGGGGGAAACCCTGCCTGGATTTGGACTGGAATCACGAATGGGGGGAAATCAGGCCTGGATCAGGGATGGAATCGCTAATAGGGGAAACCCGGACTGGATCAGGGCTGATATCAGGAATGGGGGAAAACCAGGACTGGATCGCAGCTGGAACCTCTAACAGGGGAAACCTGGATTGGATCAGGGCTGTGCTCAGGAATGGGGGGAAAACCTGGACTGGATTACGGATGGAATCATGAATGGGGGACACCCAGCCTGAATCGGGGCTGGAAAAATCGTGTTGGATTAGGGCCAAGATCAGGAATGGGGGAAAACCTGACCAGGAACACCAAGCACATGGTCAGGCTGATGGATGTGGCCGTGCTGAGTAGGCAGAAGGCAGTACTAATGAGCTGTGTATACCTCGGATTTCAAGGGGAGGCTCCATCCCAAAGTAATGCTGGAAAATAAATAATCAAGTCATATTTGGATGACAGAATCAAATACCCTGTGCTGAATTCTGGGTTGGGTTGTAAAAGGATAAAAAATGTGGTTATCCTCCATTCTCATCTGAATTTTACTTCATATTCAAACATGACCTTGTGCTTTCTTCTTCTTTTGGTCCTTGTTTTGTTGCTTCAAAATTAATTCATTTTTCATCACATTAAAGTTTTCTTGCTATTCCCTAAGCTATATATGCTGAAAATATTAATTTTTCTATAGACAGCAGTCTATAAAAGAACATTTAAATAATCTATAAAATAAAATAATGTTTAAATAATCTAGTAAACATTTCAGTCTTTGTTCTGCTGAGGAAGGAAATCAGACAATTGAGCAGAGTTGAAACACCTGACAATTTCCCTGGAAAATAATCAGAGAGTTATTTATAGGTGGTTTGATGATTTCTTTAATGACATTTTCAGTCCATGACTAAGGCATAAGCCAATGCATCTTTAATTATGTTTTAATTCTTACGACCTCAGCATTCTTCCTGCTGCTGTTTGCTCAAGCTGGATCCACTGTGAGTTGTCATTGTTTTGTCATCCTTAATTAGCATGCTGGTGCTTTAATACCTTCATCAAAGTCAAACCCGTGCAAAATAATAAAATTTGAACCAGTTTATTAAATCTTGTGCTATTTTCTTTCATTCTAAGAGAAACAGAGCACTGAAACATAGTCTGAGGTGGTGTGAGTGGGATTCCCAAAGTGGCTCCTGAACGGTTGGACAGGAAAATTTCCTTAACAGAGACTCAGGAACAGAAGAAATGTATGCACGTGTTTGTCAGTGTGACACCCCCACACTGCTGATTCCAGAGTGTCCCCTTTTCCCACTAGTCAGGAACACTGAATATTGGCAACACTGGTAAGGGCAATGTGTGCTCCTGCAGACACATTTAATGTAACAGTCTTTTCTTGTACAATGATGAATTTTTATCTATGGTACAGAAAACAGACGTTACATTAAAGTCAGCAACATTAACGATTGTACTATGTTGGTTTAGTGTTTTTTTAAATGAGAGATTCAGTCTTTATGTTTGGAGAAGTAATCCTTCTATCTCTGCACATTTTCCACATGAGTTGCAGGGCAATTTCCAAAAGCTCTTTCTAAAGGATGGTTCTGATAAAATTATAATTTGCTGAATTGGATTAGTAAAAATATTCCCTGCCTAATGAGGTTTAGAAAACAAATCTCTGGGCTAAATATGAAAGTGTGCACCGTGAGGGAGGGGAGCTATGCAAATGAATCATGCCTTTTCCAGGGTGCAGAACTAAGAGATCTGGAAAAAAAAGAAGAAAGAAAAGCGCTATTTCCCTGTGTCCCAAGATGCCTCAGCCTGTAGTGTGTGACACAGAAATGAGTACAGAGATGCAGAAAGCCTGAGGCTCTGGGGAAAGCTGAAAGAGCACAGAAGGAAAGATGTTTACATTCACTGCAAAATCAGCTGAAGAATTGTTCTTCTGAGAGAATTTTAACGAATCATGAGTTTGATTGACAAAATTGTGTCACCTCTCTTTGCAGTATGTTTGCCTTCTCATCCTGAGGAAGGTGCCAGCCAGGTTCTTATTCTTGAACACCTGGGTGTGAATCTTGGTATAAAAATGTGCATAATGACCCCAGCATGCTTAATCATATTTTCATAAATATTATTTCAAGACCTTCCTGAAGGAAAAGGAATGTCCTGTGTCATAACTGATTTATGCCAAAAACTGAGCAATGATAGTTCAAAGCATTATAGAATTAAGTTTGAGCTGTGATGAATAAAACCCAAATTACTTCAAGGTACAGTAGATAAATTAGAGGATTGCAAAACACAGGAAAGAGTAAAATCTTAGAAACTGAGGAAAAGCTGTTGTGTCCAATCTCTGTATTTCCTAAACCCTCAATACCACAGAATTCAGCCAATTTAACATCAGATAAATTTGGGGAAGCAAAATTATATTCCCTGCTCCATCTAGGGATTTCTATTAGAGCAGGCTGATGTCCATGTGCACTGCACAGTTGCTGAGCTGTGTCACATCAGCTTGTGCACACGAGGTCATGACAGCGGCAGCTGATGGTGCCAGCGTGGGTAATCTAAATAACATTAAATATGTGAAGTAAGTCAACTGAAAGAGCTGCAGGATGTTGATGGGAGAGGGAAGTACCACTCCTTGTGACCTCTCCTTACCTTTTTAAGGTCACAGTGAGAGAGGAATCATCAGTCTCTACATACTGGACTAAATCACAGCACAAACTGTGATCTGATCTTGAGCCTTTGTCCCCTCTCAGGCAGAGAGGATTACAACATGATTTGCTTTTCTTATTTGCATTTGTTATCGAGCAATCAGAAACGCTGTCAGGGGGGATTTGTTGTCTTAACATCCCTAGGTGAGACAACTGACTGCAGCAGGGCCAGGATCTCACTGTCTAATCCTGGCCAGAGGATCCTGAGTGCACACACAGATCTTAGGAGTGTGCTGTTCACACTTCTGAGAGCAGAGAGGATGGAGGGCAACCCACTCCAGCACACATCCTTCACCCACATCCCCGGGGCCTTCCTGATGCTCCTCAGCAGTTCCTTTCCCTCCCAGAACTTACACTAGACAAATTTGCATTTCCTAATCAGTTGATTTGCCTGTGGCAGTGGGAGTTCTTATTTGTAAATCATCCTCTGTAGCCTTTGCTACCCTTTTGTTGTGCAAATACGGGCGTATAACTTGAGTAAACCAATTGGCTTCAGTAGGATTATCCCAAGGGAGTTAAATGCTACCTCATATACATAAACACTGCTCTCCAAGAGACAGATTCTGCAGCCCAGTACAATTCTAGTTTCTGAAGGAAAAGGGGTAGCAGCACCAACCAGTAGTTAAACCAAGGAGATAATGACTTTCCTCTTCAGTTTCTCTGCAAATGTGAGAGGTTCAACAACGGAGTTAATGATACCTCATATCCATATTTACATGGCAGAGCGTTATTGCTTTCCACTTGGAGGAACTGTGCATTGTCACATTTTGCAGGCAGGAGAACAGCCACGGATGAAATGTAGGGATCTGGGATAACCAAACATGCCCAGGGTCTCCCAACCAGAGGGCAGCAACGGCAGCAGGGGCTCCAGACAGCTCGTGCAATGGCTTTCAAAAGCTCTTTCAGCACTTTCTAAAAAGGAGGACTGAAGTGGTAAGATAAGCCAGATGCTACAGCTGGTATTGCAAACAAAATTTTTGACAGAACAGAAGCATTTCTAGAACTCCAAATTTTTTCCCAGCTGTCCTTCACTCCTATTATGTGGGAGTGGATTCAGCAATTTCCAGGGCTTTTTTAGCCGTTGTGTAGTTTGTCTGGTAAGTGGAAAATCACAGTTAAATCAGCAGCAGGCAATTGAAAAAAGATTTTTTGCTTTAAGGAGTGATGCCATGTTGCTAAAACTTTGTATGCTTTAGTGCTGCCAAAATTGTTGGTGCTTCTTGCATTTGGAGTTCCCTAGATGACAATTTATTATTGTTTTTGTTTAGAAGTCTGGGAAAATGGTAATTGTGATAACTGCCTTCAACGAGAAATTAAGGAAATTGCTGGTTACTGTGCAGAATTGTGTATCTGCAGTAAATTCTGAAGTGCTGAGATTTCACAAACTTTTGGTGTCTCAGGGTGACTGTGACGATGTGAGTAGAAAACTCACATGTGTTTTGGTTTCTTTCACATCATTTCACATGATGAGGGTGAAAGAAAACTACTGTGGTCATTCTGGACAGGGAGACCCTTTCCCACCTGTAAAGCACTCAAGCTGCTGAGCAAAACAATGACTGTTTTCCGTGGCACAAAATATTAAACATCAGCAATTTCTTTTTCTTGTGTCTCACCATTCATAGTAAATATCCAAGGGAGATGTTGGAAATGGTGCTCTTCCAATTAAGTTGCATGAACTCCAACTCTATTCAGCTAAAGGCTGCTCAATGCCCAGAGACAAAAACATCTAATGAATCAATCTTTGTGCACAGAAGAAAGCTTTATTTTGGGAAATTACATAAAAACTAGAAAC